CGATCCCCGTTTGTGCGCCCCGAAGCGGCGAAGTGGCAAACAATTTTGCTTAAACGGATTGAGTCGAGCTTTTGAGTATTTGGTCGAAGTCGAGACGAAGTCACTTTAATCGATTTTCAATTCTCGATTTATTTAACCAATATCCAACACTGCATTGGTAGAATGGTCTGGCAAGAGTTAGGATCTCCTTTGTTCTCCCAGGAATGACCTTCCTAACTAACTAAAATATTATGCAGAGTTGAATATAAAGATTCCCTCGTTGAGTGACTGGAAGTTTACCAAGGAGAGAACACTAAATGGGCATATTTCTCCTACCTATAGGAACAGAGATCTGATGTGTTGGAATGTAAAAGTGCAATCCAGAGAAAACTGACTTTCGGGCTTTGATATGAATCTCAATGAGCTTGAACTTCTAAACAATTGAAGCACAGAAGATTTATCTAGGAACAATAAATTCTTTCTTTTGTTCAATTGTATTCATTCTTTCTGTCTATGCTATTCATGCGAATGCCTTTAAATCCTTAAATAGAGCCCATATTCTTTACTCAGACCAGTTTGCTGAATAGTTGATTTTCTATTCCATGAAAGAATGCCAATGATACTTATGATAATTATGTAACGAGACAGAAGTGCTATCAGTGAGAAAATTGATTCATTGCAAGACCATATTCATATCAAACTCATTTCAGAAAATATTCTTACTTTTTATCTAAAGACCTTTTTATATTCTTGATTTCTGTATTGACCAATACATTTTATCATGTACAGGAGAAGACAGCTTTCATTTTCTGTGTTGAAGACAGAGCACTCTTTTGCAAGGGTTGTGATGAGCGTATCCATTTGGCCAATAGCCTTGCTGCAAATCACCAGCGATTTTTAGCCACCGGAATTCGAGTAGCTTTGAGCTCTAGTTGCAATAAGGACACAATGAAAGAAAATTTGGAGCCAAAGCCACCCAAGCAGAATTCACAACAGATTACCACGAGAATACCCGCACAGCATGTAACTGGTATCACATCACCATCTTGGCCTGTTGATGAGTTACTACAGTTTTCAGATTATGAATCCTCCAGTAAGGTAAGAAAATTACTATTTATTTCTACATTGGACGAATACATGGGACATGTTTTGTAGGGAGGATTGGGATAACACCAGACCGTACGAAAGTAGAAGACAAATATAAAATGTACTTTTTCTTTCTTGTCAGATTGCAGCACCATTAATCAATTTTTCAACTTTTGCAGAAGGATCAACTTGAGTTTGGTGAGCTTGAGTGGTTTTCAGATATTGGTCTGTTTGGCGAACAACTATCGCCAAAGGCTTTAGCAGCGGAAGTACCTCAGCTACCCGTGTCTCAGCCAAGTAACTTGGGTTCTTATAGGCCAGCCAAATTCTACATGCCTCACAAGAAACCTAGAATTGAAATTCTAGACGACAACGAGGAGGGATACTTCACGGTTCCTGATCTTGGATGAATCTACTGTCACAAACTCAATGCAATATGTTGAAGCACAATCAGATCATGCACCAGTTCTTCATAGATATACTTGTCTATTAGTTGAATGTTTTAGAAGTTGTGTTTTGCTTTTACCTTCGTCTCTCCTGTTTGTGTTGCAAGAATTATTGATTTTAAATTACTTTATATTGGAATTAAATTTGGCTGAATGAGTCCAGATATTAATCGAGTATCAAGCACAACAATGCATGTTGGCGTTTGTGAATTCACTGTTTCATCATTAGATACTATAAATGACGTTTGTCGTTTAAGACTTGAGCTAAATTAATTTTCTTGTAGTGTAATAAAATAAAAAAATAAATAAATAAAGGGAGAAAGAAATTGAGTAAAGTTCAATTCTTGATTTTGGTTGTAGGTAAGATCCCAAACCATTAAAAATTTCAGTAAAATTCGGTACATTTGGTTCTGATTCTTATATTCACTCCATGATTCGCGGTGAATTGTTAACTCTCTGATTTTTGCTGACTGTTTTTTATTCACTTATTCCATTTTGATACGTCACCACTATTAAAATGTGTTTGATATCACGTCTCTTAACACATATCGAAAAATGGCAAGTAAGATCCCAAACCATTAAAAATTTCAGTCAAATTCGGTACATTTTGTTCTGATTCTTATATTCATCCCATGATTCGCGATGAATTGTTAACTCTCTAATTTTTGCTGATTGTTTGTTATTCACTTATTCCATTTTGATACGTCATCACTATTAAAATGTGTTTGATATCACGTCTCTTAACACATATCGAAAAATGGCATGATCGAACTGGTCAGGTGTCAATTTATACACTATAATCAATATATTATTTGATATCAGAAATTGTTGGATGTAGAAAGATGACTCAACTGCTGGAATGGTTTTGTGCAGTTCTGGAAAATTGCAAGAAGGCTTGCCTCCAAATTCTTTCTTTCAATTAATCCATTTATTCTCCAGATTTATCACATGTGCCCTAAAAGTTTGGTATAAGTACTACTTTAGTCATAATTTTCTTTTTCTTGAAATTCACAACTCCTTTCAAAGCATCCTATCTAAGAATTAACTAAGACTTTGTCTCAAGAGAGTTGGCTTGACTGAATAATCTTTTCGAACAAAATAAGCGAGCAATGATGCGGGAATATGTTATTTTCAAAAGCATTAGCATTTCCCATTTTGGTTTACGTATAGTACCTTAAAGAAATAGAATTCCGAGTTTGTATAAAAAAATGTAAAAAGTTGGGTTCTAAAGTTGATTCAAACTCTTTTTATAAAGCTAGAAAGATTATATTCCATCCGTCCCAATTATATAGGCCAATTTCCTAATTTAGATATTTTATTTTGTTCCTTTACCAATATACGCTTATTCAATTTTTCTTACTTAATATGTCAACTTCTTGAAATCATCCACGTACACATTTTTCACTTCTTGAAAACATGGAACAACTCTCAGTTTTTCTTCTTCAAATTAAATCATTCAAATTCTTTACTAATTCCAACAATAATCTATTACTACATACTGAAACTTAAATATGTTTAAATTAGGAAAGATTTTGGCAAAAATTAATTTTTCAATGACATTAAAGAAGATTTTCTAATCCATGTGAAAAACGAAACAAACCTATATAATTGGGATGGAATGAGTAATATTAAACTAGGATGCCACCATATTCACATAAACTGTTATTACATTAAAAAAGAAAAAATAAAGAAACAAAAAACAAAAAAACTTTAAAAAATTGACTATACCTATTGCTATTAACTTCACTTTATACCTAGATAATTCATACGGAATTCACCTCCGAAGATAATGACGAAAGGTTGGTTTGTCAATCCATGATTGGATAAATATCATTTATCGTTTCGATTCTTTCTTTCATTTTTTATTTTTTTTAACATCCATCTCAGTGAACTCTTCATTGTCTTTCTTTGGTTGAGCATATGTATCTTCAGTGCACTCATTTTTTTCAATTATGAAGTGTAATTAAGTGATCCAACTCATGCTGGACCCAGGTGCCCATGTAGTTTGGTCAATCGTGGACCAAGAAATATTGAATGGTAACGTAGGCAGGGTATCCAAGGAATGGACTTCTGAATTTTTTCAGATTTGGCGAGTATCTAAAATTTATTTTCCTAAATAAATATCACGCTGCAAAAGAAAATGAATAAACTTTTGATATTGTCAAATAAAACATACCAAACATGCAATGTGTATTCAATAAAAAGTGCCTAATTAAGCGGATTTAATTATTGATAAAGATATTTGACCAGAATGAGCTGGATAACAACTGTAGGAAAAGGAAAAAGAAGATTTCAATGATCGCTGCAACTGCAAGCCACAAGCATTTATCAAAAGAAAATGACAGATCATTATTTATTTAACTACCTTAAAGAAATTATTTCATCATATCAAGCACATAAAGAAAAACTGAAACAGAGATACCAATTGCCAAATCCAAATTCAAAACTTGTCTAGAAAAACATGGTAAAAATCAAAATTAGGAAAGGAAGACATCTTTCCTCTATTTTCCTTCTTTAAGAAGAGCGAGGACTTCTTTCTCGGTTGGGAGAGCTGGGATGGCTCCCTTTTTAGTCGTGGTAATTGCTCCACAGGCACATGCAAATTTAAGTACTTCCTTCAATCTAAGCTCATCCTGGAAATCAAGAAATCAATAGAATCAGTGTTCGGTAAATACTAAACATAATTAGAACGTGCAATGTATTAACAATGTTATCAAGAAATTACATTACCTGGATTATGTCATGATCGTTGACAATCTTACAGAGAAGGGCTCCTACAAAAGAATCGCCAGCCCCGGTTGTGTCCACAGCCTTGACGTGGAAGGCATCAACTGATCCATGGAAATTCTATTTTCCAACATGAGGGGCAAATCCAAAGTTAAATTTTAAAGAGAGAATTGATACATGACACACATTATATCCAGTTTTTTCAGCATAAAATTTATGAGGCATGGTCGATTCTTTCAATAATTCACATGTTGAGCAAATATATTAATAACCAGGAAGATATTTTTGCTATCGTACTGAATCTTCACATTAAGGGAAAAAAAATTATGGGATATGAAAAAGGAATATGTAGGATAAAGAATTTATTATAACAAACAAAAAGGTAAAGGGAGAAAAAGAAAGAACAAATGCAGAATCAAAGTATTCTGGTATCTAAGATAGAGGGTGAGGAAGTGACAAGGTGTGGTTCAAAATGAGCTACTTTTGGTAGCTTTTTGAAGCTGGGAGTACCATAAATTCAAGATGGTGGTGGTTATTTCTTAGCCCCGGTTTGGTACAAATTAAAATTCAGATTTTAATCTAAATTAAAGTCAACAACTAATTCTAATCACAAATTTAATGGGACCAACAACTTTTCAATTACACATTTCAACAACTTTTATCAAAATCTACTAAAAATTTGATTTTAATCCCCTTCAAACATGAGCTTAGTTTATATAGTATAGTAACCTCAGTGGCATAATATTTCTTTTCCTAGAATATTTTATCTACCATTGGCATTTCAAGAAAATGCACTAATGTTGGGTCATAAATGCTCAAACACCTTGCAGGAGATTTTTTTTTTATTTTTTATTTTTTTTAAATGTAGTAATGAATATCTCTTTAATGAATCACGGTAAAAACATTATTCTATTAGGTTTTTCCTTGTTTTATACCTCAAGATAACCCAATAAATCCAGTATTTCAAACTTAATAGAATGAAACAGAAAATTATTATAGTTTAGAGCCACATGAATCACATTTTTCAAATAGTGGAAATCTAAAAAGAAATCTTTATGAGATGCAGAAAATGCAGTCAGAAATATGTAGCCTCACATGTTGAGCAAATATATTAATAACCAGGAAGATATTTTTGCTATCGTACTGAATCTTCACATTAAGGGAAAAAAAATTATGGGATATGAAAAAGGAATATGTAGGATAAAGAATTTATTATAACAAACAAAAAGGTAAAGGGAGAAAAAGAAAGAACAAATGCAGAATCAAAGTATTCTGGTATCTAAGATAGAGGGTGAGGAAGTGACAAGGTGTGGTTCAAAATGAGCTACTTTTGGTAGCTTTTTGAAGCTGGGAGTACCATAAATTCAAGATGGTGGTGGTTATTTCTTAGCCCCGGTTTGGTACAAATTAAAATTCAGATTTTAATCTAAATTAAAGTCAACAACTAATTCTAATCACAAATTTAATGGGACCAACAACTTTTCAATTACACATTTCAACAACTTTTATCAAAATCTACTAAAAATTTGATTTTAATCCCCTTCAAACATGAGCTTAGTTTATATAGTATAGTAACCTCAGTGGCATAATATTTCTTTTCCTAGAATATTTTATCTACCATTGGCATTTCAAGAAAATGCACTAATGTTGGGTCATAAATGCTCAAACACCTTGCAGGAGATTTTTTTTTTATTTTTTATTTTTTTTAAATGTAGTAATGAATTTCTCTTTAATGAATCACGGTAAAAACATTATTCTATTAGGTTTTTCCTTGTTTTATACCTCAAGATAACCCAATAAATCCAGTATTTCAAACTTAATAGAATGAAACAGAAAATTATTATAGTTTAGAGCCACATGAATCACATTTTTCAAATAGTGGAAATCTAAAAAGAAATCTTTATGAGATGCAGAAAATGCAGTCAGAAATATGTAGCCCTGTTTGGCTCAGCTTAAAAAGTAGATTAAAATATTTAAGTCAAAGTCAATATTTAATTTTAACCAATCCACAACTTTTCAACTATATGTTCTGTCAACTTTTATAAAAATCTACTAATAATTCGATTTTTATCTAATACTACTATCTTATTTAAATATACAGATTTACTGCCAAATGATAATATTATAACACTGTTTTCCACAAAATATATAGACATGGACGAAGGCTGTTTCTTCTTTTAAGAGCTTCACCTACTCATCATGGCATTAATGCTCTGAAGTACAGAAATTAAGAAGATGAAACTAACAATTAAAGTACCTTAGTGTAATATCTGCAGCCATTTTCTCCAAGGGTCACCAAGAGAAGCTTCAAGTTATCATGCCATAGGGACATTGCCGAAGCATCATCAATTTTGTTATTCCCCGTGAGGAACTCTAGTTCAACATCACTGATCTTGATCACATCCGCCTTGTCCCAAATGTTCATGATTTGCGTTCGGGCCTCGTCAGCTGAGGGCCACAATGGCAGCCGAAGGTTGGGGTCATATGAGAGCAATGCCCCGGCATCCTTGGCCACCTCCATTGCCTTCAAATGTGCAGATCTACATGGCTCCACGATCAAGCTTATCGATCCATAATGGAACACTTTAGCCTGTGGAAATTTATGTAAACAAGTTTTTTAAGTATACATGATTCATATATTCATTTTGCCAAATTATATTAATGATAGCTATGGAGCCCGTTTGGCAGGGCTTTTGCTACTTGCGGAAAAGCTTCTTCGACATTAGGATAGCTTCTTTTAAAAACTCTTCTAGTCAGACAGGGCTTTTGCTTCTTATAGAAAAGCTTCTTCTACGTTAGGACAGCTTCTTTTAAAAACTATTCTAGTCTGACAGAGAACTTTAAAAAAATTATCAAACTATGTTCAACCGTCTCAAAAACAGCTTTTGATTTTTCAAAAAGCATGTCAAAAGGGCTCATATATATCTTACAAAAACATTCGAGGTCACAGTAGAAACAATGAAAAATTGCAATTAATAAATGAACATTCAATGTGCCAAATACCTTATATTTTGCTTATCTTTGGCTTATACAAATTCAAAGTAGATGTAAGTTCAAAGCTTATCAACTAGCAACTAGATGGTTCTAAAGCATTAGGAAAAATTATTGAAGATTGTCTTTTCATTGGGAGTAAGACTTACGTTTTTTTTTTTTTTTTTTTTAAAGAATATATAATAAGGTATTATAGTGTTGTTTATATCCAACAATGTTTCATATACATTATAGTGTCTAGCTTTGTGTATACTCCGCCACTTGTCAAATTTCGATTTGATAGTTTAAAAAAAAAAAAAAAAAACCAGACTTCCATCAATCATAGGTTGTCAACTCGGATGATGTGCAAAAAATGATGTATAAAAAGAGTGTACAATTGGCTTTATTGGTCTATATTTAGGAGTATTTAACAATCCTCATCGTATTATCAGTGAAATCCTAATAAACTCAACTGCACCTTAAAAAATTGCATTATAATCTTTCATCAGCCACCTAACGGCCCTACAATTCCTCCTTTTTCATAATCTTTGACCAAAGATTTGTTCAATGCCGAAATTAGCCTAAGCATGCGAAAAATCCGGATCCAAATTGAAATGGATCTGAGTGGAAAATCCACCTGGGCCCAATTAATGAGTTCGGAGGGCCCACTGCGAGGCGGTAAATAAATCAACATAACGGTGAGTGGCGGCGCGTGGAAAAACAGGGCGCGTCCACAACAACCATTTGCATCATCCGCCTCATAAAAGGCCAAAAAAAATTTCACACTCGACTTGTATCAGAAACTGAACCCCAGAAAATTTCTATTATGCTATATTCTTATTATCAAGGAACTAAATTTTTCCTTTTTTTTTTTCAAAAAATTAAATTTCTTGATTTCACCAACCCACTCGTGGGATATGGATGCCCACGTTAATTTAACATAAAGTCAAAAAATTACCAAAAATAATTGATTAGACAAAATAATTCAGAATTATCGAAGAAATTTTTTTTATAAAGATCTCAATGATCATTCACGGTGATCAGAAATCAAGAAAAGTATCAAAAATTAAAAAATAAGAAATATCCGTATAATAAAAACAAGATAGATCAACCGACAAAGAATCCAATTTTTATATGTATGTAAATATATGTATAAAATTGAATGATGCGACACTTACAGATCTAATGAGCTCGAGATTCAATTCATCGGGAGTGAGCAACATGTCAGCACTGGGATTCCTATAGAACATGAATTCACGATCTCCATCGGCGCGTAAGGTGACGAAAGCTAGGGCGGTGCGTGCACCTTTATCGAAGGGGATGCCATCGGCGGAGACGCCGTTTTCCTTCAAGATACCGGCGAGCATGTGACCGAACTCATCCTCACCGAGTTTTCCGATGAAGGCGGCCTTTCCGCCAAGCCTCGCCACCGCTATCGCCACGTTGGCCGGAGCTCCACCAGGTGCCTTCAAGAATCCCGGCGCCTCCGCCAACGACACGCCGGAGACCGTCGGCACAAAATCGATTAACATCTCACCGAAACTCACGATCAGGCCATCTGAACTGCCGTTTGAAGCCATTACGATGATTCAGAAACTGAAGACACGATTGTATATATAAATCAGAGACAGAATAGAGAAGAGAAAGAGTTGATTATGTAGGAGTTTATATAGGAGAAGGGCACCTGTGGGGTGAAGACTTTAACTAGTCAGAGAAAGAAAATGATTCATTTTAAAAAGAGATAATTACTAATAATTAAAATAGTTAATTTTATAAAAAATAAATAATTAAAGTTTTTATTTTTTATGATTTATAGTTCGGTTACTGTGATTATTGACAATCAATTTGACTGCTGCTCTCGATAACTTGGGAATGTTACCATCAACGACGTACTAAAATGTGTTGGTTCGAAGGACATTCTGTCGAACTTTTTATAAGAGGTCGAGATATATTGTCAATCGGGTTATACATAAGATCTATACCATATGTATAACATTTGTTGACAGTTGAAATTGAAGGATTTTTCTTCGAGTACAAGGAAAACTTACAGAATTCATACAAGATTTTGAAATGAAAAAATAAGGCCATGTTTGAGCTCTATTATTTTCTTATTAAAATGAAAAATATGACCGTTATCCATCACATCAAGTCATCATATTTGACTTTTTATCTCTTGTGTTGGTGGGCCCATAAGGGTTATATTTTTCATTCTCATTTTTTACAATAATGTGGCTCAAACAGGGGCTGTGTTTGTGAAAAAATTTATTTGCAAAAACCCTGTACTTGTAACATAACTCGAAATTGAATACTATAAAATTCGAATATTAAGTTATTATTTCAAATTGAATCAATTCTTTAGAAAAATTGAAATTTTACATGTGATGCAAATTTTATAAATTTGTTGAGTGAATCTTTCTTCATTTTGACTTAAGTAAATCCAACATTATTTTAAAACATATGACGAATATTATGTATTTATTGTATAATATCACGATAATATTGTTAAGATTGTAATCACATGTAATGCTTAAGGAAATTTTGACAGTTACAGATTCGAAACTCATCAACCATTCCTTTTCTCATCCCTTTTCCCCTTATTTTTATTGTTAAGATTGTAAATTATCCACTAATACGCTTTAACCAATTATTTACATTGTAAAATTTAATGAGGTGGCATTAACAAATGAAGTACAAATTTTTGATGACTTTTAAAAAAGAATTTCCCAAATAGCATCTTATTTAGAAAGAGAAATGCTAATTAATGTTATTAATTAATCTCTATCGTTGTACCCAGTAACCCTAATTGTAACCTATAAATAGACCTTGATCTTCAAAAGAATACATGTATGTCTATTGTCATCGTATTTTTTTCTGTTATTTTTCTTTCTTGTTCCTCTAATTTCATAACGTATCATCAGCACGGATCACTAATCAGGTGCAATAAGAAAAGTAATTTCTCTTTTGTTCAAAGAAAGGCATAGAGTTTGACCAATTAAGTTCAAAAGAGGGTAAAAAAAAAAGGCTTCTTTTTCGGTTCAAAGTAATGTAACCATTCTCTCAACTCTAAATTATATGATAAAGTGGTAAATATTATTTTGACCTAACAAAGCAATAAATGTTATTTTGACTATCTCTACTTTATTTACTTTTAATGTCATTTTTTTATTATTTATTTGAGAAGACTAACTATCATCCTCCTAATTTTATGAATTTGTCATTAACAAAATAATTTATTTGTTTTTTTCTTAATTAAATTTTTAAATAGCAATGGATAGTGATTGATTAGTATATTTTACTTAGAATATGTAGATTTCATTTAGGGTGGGTGTGGTGTCGGGAATTTTGGGGTGGGGGTCATAACCAAGTTTGGTGGCAGCTACTTGATTTCTATCATTGAACCAAATTGAAATTGAAAACCATCATAAAAGGATAGGAAACCTAATGAATTTTATATAATAAAAATTGGAATAAACATTTATATATATATAAATATTATGGCATGAGTACAAGTTTTGGCTTTTCTATGACTGATAGACACTTGCCTTCTTAGTATAAACAAAGGTTATATTAATTAAAAATATAAATATTAAGCTTGTTTGATGCTCTTTAAAATAAAATAATTTATTTTCATATTCATTTTCAACAGTATATTCACAAAATAAAATATTTTACATATAACTCCAAAAATTTTCTTCATTTTTTAGTCATATATTCTCTAAAAAATTATTATTCAAAACATCAATTTTACATAATAATGACCATCAAATAGAGACTAAAATTCATGTTTGAAAATATCAATAACTTAAAAGTAAGATTAATTTGTTTTTTTAAGTACAACCAATTTTCTTATTCTTCAATCTTAAATATTTTTTATATTCTTCAATCTTCCCTCGGGGTATAATCCAGTGGTGCAAATGACAGGAATATGGTAGTCTTAACCCTGTCGGTAGTCGCAGTGTGAGGGTACGATTCATGAGATATGGAATTGAAATCTTTGTGGGTACCAGTATACGGGTAAACTTTTATTTCCTGGCATATTGGGACACATCTTGCGATTTATCTCCCTCACAATGCTCCAAAAAGGGAACAATAGAGGCTCTCAAGATTGGGGTTCAACATTTTTTTATATTCTTCAATCTTCCCCTTAAAAGTAAGGTTAGGTTTCGTAGATCATATTGGGCACAATCAAATAGGAAAACTAACAAATATTTGAGATAACACTTTCGATCAATTATATTTCAGGATCGGACAAAATATATTCATTAAATAATACTAAATTTAAAAATTAACATTTATTTGTTTAAATCCTAAAATTCCTTCTTCTCCTTCTTGTGCCATTTTCAATCCAACCACCCTCTCCCCTTGTATTTTTGCAGTCTCTGCTGTCCAGTTACTCACCTTCATTGCCCCCCACATTGCCAATACCCTCTTTACACATCGACCCTTGTTTTATACAGAAACAAAAAGAGAATGGGAAGTGATGTTTGTGCGGAACCAAAGTTCTGTAATTTTTACAGTCCTCTTAAAAATATGGGGCCAACGATTATTTTAATAGCGAGTCTTACATGTAGGAGGGCTGTCAACAATGCTATCAAATGTGCTGTATCTGTAATACTTCTCAAAGAGATTAAAGCGTGACACCACACGGTTGGACAAGACAGACAAAAATTTTATTTCTAAAATGTAAGATATCAAAGGCTATAGAAAAATGCTGTACCAAAAAAAAAAAAAGTTAAGTTTAATTTTATAAATCGAATAAGCAATACAAAAAAGTGATTGAGTACTAACTCAATCTCTAGTTGTCGTTAATTTTATCGAAGTATAAGAATTCAAATCATGAAATTATGCCCTTGTTTGATTTAGCTAATTTAATCAAAGTTGATAAAATGTGTAGTTGAAAAATTGATTAAAAAAATGTGTATCCTATTAAATATGTGGTTTAAAATGAGTTTGAAGAAAAAATTAATTTAAAAATGAAGACCAAACTCAATATTTAGAGCCCGTTTGGAAGTGATTTTTCACCTCAAAAAATTGATTTTTGACCGTTATTTCACTATTAAATCATTCATGTTTGGCTTTTTTCCTCACAGGTAGTCCCCACTTTTCTCCTAACGATTAAAAAATCAATACCAAACAAATCCATGAAAACGTATCGATTCTTAATTCGGATTCTCAAATATGTTTGTCAAAAGTTTCCTAAAAGTGTAGGTAAAGTTTCCTCGAGCTTTTCAAATTTTATTTAAAAACCAAATTAATCAGGTGTGATTTGCTGCTACACCGGGTGAAGAGTGGGCTGACGTGGAAAGTCTATTTTTTAAACAAAACCCCATAAATATTGCTTTTTTATTAAGGAAAATAGTTTTTTAATATCCCGTCACAAACCACTGAATTCAGTAACGTAAGCTGGTTGTTGGGGGGAAACCAAAAGCAGATTTGACAACATTGATTACTGGCGGCCAATAAAGCCCATTGGTTTTTAGGTTTTTATTTATTTTATTTTGACTAAAATAAATAAATTGAATAATGTTATTTGTATCGCAGTGACCCTACGTGATATACATGTAGCGATTAATAATTTATTGTATAAAGTAATAAAAAACTTCTACATTAATGTATCAAATTACTAACCGTCACATGTATGCCAGATATGATAACTACGACAGTGAGAGACTGCAAATATCATTACTTAAATAAATTAGCCTTTAAGCCATATTTAGAGCTTGTTTGTCTCCCATTACGAAAGAAAATATAGAGTTTTGAATAGTATTTTTTGAAAAATGTGCAGTTAAAATTTTAAAAAAATTTATTGGTTCGTGTGTATAATATGTTATTGTATAAATGTATTTTAATAATATAATCAAACTACGATTGTCTTTCTATTATAACTAAACACTCTATATCTTTCAGGTAATTTGACAAAATATTCCGTTGATGTATAAAGATCGAGCTTGTCCACAATTATGCTTGATCTGTAAAAAATTATTATTATTATTATTATTTTTTTTTTTTAACACTCAACAGTCTGAAAAATAAATATCATTTCGATTGCTTCCAAATTAATAATTAGAAACAAGAGCTCCGTCCATTGATTAAAAATGTGGGTATAATTGGGAAGTAGGTGAGAACGTGATTAGGTGTGCAAATCCGTGCGCCATTACATCGAAGAGTAAATGTGAAGGAAAGCTAAAATACCCCACTCCAAGGACAGTGGCCTAATTTCTAATCAAAGGGACTTCAAGAAGAAGATAAGAACCAAACACTACAAAAAGTAAAATTAGAAACTAAAGCCAACTACAAGTAATATTGGCAAACTAAATCTAAAAAAATTGTGCATGCTAGTACCGTTTATCATAATTGGATGGTATGGACTAGGAAATTTTTTGAAAAACTTAGTCTGCATGTGAATAATATAGTTAGACGAATTAAAACACACAGTACAAGGTTATGTTTATTTTGTATCCGCATGTTTTGATTCATTTTTTGACTTTAGGACTATAATGACTATCTTATGTACACTTTTTTTCTTTTTCTTAGCCCAAGTATTCTCGAAGTAGCTGTATTTCACTTGGTTATTGATTGTCTAAGTATGCTTAATGTACTTATGCGTAAGTTTTGATCTATATTAATTAATATTTATTAATAAAAAAAGACAAACTTTTTGGAATGAAATGATTCTTTTTCAATGGATAGTA